CGTTCGAGAGCAATTTAAACAATATTATGTGTCCAATCGAGGTAGTGTACCCTGGCAGCTTCAAAGAGTTCATGCGGGAAGAATTAATGTACCCTACATAGCAATAATTTTCATGTTTGCATACCTTCTTTTATATGCTACAATAAATGATACTTGAACTAAAATATTTATTTATTATTAACTATAATATCCTTTAGTACTTACCGGAGCATCCTACATTTTTTTATATTTCTCGTTCTCTTTTCGATTTATATCATGGTAATATCTATTTTCCGGGTCGTACAGAATACTGTATTCACGTACATTTTCAATTAATAACTCGTCAAATTCAGCCATAATATTATTTTCACACCACTGAAGACTACAAACACTAACATCCACGGTCAAATGTTCGAAGCCGTCTGTTAACAATCGGCAGTTTTTGCCCCTTCTAGCATACTGATCCGTAGCCGAGTCGAGCCGACCGGTCGTAGTAACCGAACTGAGTCAGTGCGCGGATGCCTATTTAAATGTATGTATAGCAAAATCATTAGAGTTGCTCAGTTGCTGTCCCGTCTCGAGTCGATTCAGTGCGCGTCCTGCTTTAGGATATACATAACGTCGATTTGTAATCATAGTTGCCTATATGTGTTGCCGCGGGATTTTACATGTAAATCGAAGCCAGAGCGGAAATGAAAATTGGTATTACTGATATACAATTACCGTATAAACATTAGATGGAGGAAGTTCTCCGACATTTTACCTCGAAAAGCTCTTACTGGCAACATCCCACGCTACACACATAAAGCACATTTTTCCACATGGCTTGATAAAAATAGTGCAGCAAACATCGTGCAAAAGGTATGCATTTATATAAAATATATGTGTCCAAAATTTAAGAATATTGTGAGAAATTTTAAAAATATTATAAAACCACGTGTTAATTTTTATATACTGTTCTTTCAAACAATTTTAGCTTTGCCAGAAAACAGATTAAAATAAATAGATTAAAAATAATATGGAATAGAATAGAAGTATGAGGTACAATTGTATTTGGTTCATGAAGAATACAGTATCTGAAGTAGTTTGATTTTGGACTGGGAGCTGTACCAATTATATTAGACATAGATCTAGTACCTGAACCTGATGAACACTAAGTTTTTATTTTCCATCAAAATTTGTATTTGGCCGAGTCACTCTACTAGGGGAGAGTGAAGAGAGCAGAGATGTCCATCCAGGATAATCCCTAGTAGCGCCTCATAAATTATTAAACTTATTTTTAGTCTCTGTTGAATTCAAATTTATTTTCTATCCTTCCGGCAACCTGATAGGTAGTGTTATTAGGAGGAGACTTTAGACAAACGCTGCCCATCGTTGTCGGAGGAAATAGATGCACCACCGTAAAAACCTGCATGAAGAGCCGTCGACATTGGCCCCAGTTTTTACACTACATGTTACGCACCAACTTAAGGGCCGAAGAAGATCAATAGTTCTCCAGATGGCTCCTAGACCTAAGCAATGGGACCTTAGAGCCACTGATACGAACACCATATGGTAACAGAATACAAATTCCCTATGTTAACCGAATAGAGGACATAATAGAGTTTTGCTTTAATGACGTTGATCTTACGGTACCTACCCTGAAGGTAATTTTAGTACCTACTACCAATTCCAGTCATAGCATTAACCAAATAATTTTAAATAAATTACCAGGGGACAGTAAAACTTACTTCGGTGCAGACAACGTCGATATCACTGATGATCCAGCAGCCGAACTAGCCAATTACACGGTAGAATTTCTGAATTCCCTTACCCCCCAACGGAATGCCAACGCATTCTAAAGGAAGGTGCTATAGTAATGCTTCTCCGCAATCTAAATCTTAAAAAACGACTGTGCAATGATACGAGATTTATTGCGCGAGTACAAGGAGATCAATACCTAGATGTAGAGAGAATAAACCCACGAATAGAATTGACTCAGTGCATTTGTTACACTACTTCCAACGTCATGTTGGTATGTACCATGCCTCAAAAAATGTAAAGTAGCCAATGCTTTTAAATAGGTAGGTATTGCATTTGTCCGGATATTGGTTAAATTAGGTTTCAAAGTATTGATGAGATCTCTAGCTAAGTCTTTGTTAAATTCCGAATCTGTTATTACTTCAAACGCATTTTGTGCATCAAGAAGAAAAAGCATTAAGTAGGACAGAGAAAAACGCGGACAAGGAGAAGGCCAATAATAGTGAAATGCAATTAGCTGTTTATTAGCAAGCAGTTTTACCTGTGCCGATGGGACAAACATCGGCTATTTTTTATAAGTCCAGGCTAAATTGCTACAATTTAACAGTAAGTTTCAAGATACATTTTTTTATCATTGTGTTCCAAATCAGTTAGAAGTCTTGAAGTCCAGATGATCTAACTTCCTTCGTTGTTTTTCTTCAAGGTGGCAGACATTGGAAGTAACAAAAGTCTCTGCTTTTTTGGCATGAGGGAATTGGGAACAGAGGCGTGAATGAAATAGCAACATGCGTGTTATGCTACCTTGAAGAGTTGTCAAATAATAAACCCGGGGCAAATGTAGTATTTTATCCTCATAATTGCGGGGGACAACAGAAAATCAGGTTCGAGGCACAAAAAAATCCGCTGCAGAAGAAATCACATTTATTTTTATTTCTGTTGCAGATACATGATAGCGATGTATTTGTATGCAGTTCAGCAGTTAAACATTCAGTCTGTTTCACACAAGTACTTAATTCGTGGCCACACGCAAAATGAGGGTGATGCAATTCACAGCATCATCGAAAAAGTCATTAAAGAGTGCAAAAAGGTCTGGGCCGATTTATGTACCCGACCAATATGTAACAATTATCCGACAAGCGAAAAAGAAGGAAGAGCCTCTGCATGTTACAGAAATGAGTTTTGAAGATTTTAAGGACATTAAGGCGTTGCATGATGAGATGGCACCTTACATGGTAAAAGACGTAGACGGAAATATTTTCAAATTGAGTAAGATTAAAATATTTCGATTTGAAAAGGGAAGTAATATGTTTTACTACAAGAATAGCTATAAACAATCGGAGTGGAGACAATTTAAGTTTACAGGAAAAAAAGGCGTTCAGAAGAGAAAATACAAGCAACTAATATCGCTTTGAAACCTGCCTATATAAAAAAGTAGTAGACGAGTCAGAAAATAAAATTCGAGATTTAAATAGTCTGGCAACATAATTCCCAGATATTAAGGATTTCTATGATTCTCTAACAAATTAGAAAAAATAGTAAAATTTTATCTTCATTGTTACGTTACTTTAGTTTGTATATTTCAGTTTTGTACCCACAATAATTTAGTTTGGAATAATTTAATCTAAGTTTAGCTTAGTTTACACTGTTTCTTTTTAGTTAAATCCTTGAAAACTATCAAATAAAATGATAGCTTAGAAAGCAATTATCAAGAACTACTTGTTCCCCCTTTCCTTTTTGCCCGAACTTGTTATTTTGTTTTATAATTTTAGGAGAACAATGGCACATTTGCTAAAGATAGAGGTGGCGGTACGGGGCAAATTTTAACAAAAAAAATATTTTGAACTTTATTCTGAACCATATTGTAACAATTTGTCCGAGTCCCAACATCATAGAGAAATTAACTTTTGAATTATGGAGTTTTAAAAAAATAACTATCGGTTTTTTGCGTTTCCTGAACAATTATCACTTTAGCAGTTACGTCATTGTTCTTCCGGAACAGCGAAATAATGTTTGGGGAAAAAGAAGCTGCAAAGTTAAAAACAATACTTCTGCCAAATAATACTATCCAAAGAATTAATGATATGTCATAAGATATTCAAGCACTAGATATGTGCCATATTTAATATTTTTATGTAAAGACCGCCGGCGGTACATGCGGCGTCCAGATGATTCTTGTATTACCTAGACGCCGCATGACCCGCCCGCGGCCAAAGGTTGATATCTACGCATTTACTGGAATTGTTTTTTTTTTGCCCATCGTTAGTACGTTGCAGTCTGTGGCCGAGTGTTTATTGCTTTTGATGCGTATTTATCTGTCATAATGCAAGCCGGTGCCAGTAATCGTGATGCAAATCGACCATTAACTCTGAAATAGTTAGAAAATATTTGTGAAACTGACATCGTCTGGATCAGACAACGAAGTAACTATTAGTGACATTGAATCAAGTGAAGATGAATTTATACCAACCGATGACGAAGATCAATCTTCCGAAGCTGAAGTAGATACTGAAAGTGGTGAATTGGTGGATGAAACGGAACAGAATTTAACAGATAAGAATTTAAGTGCACTAATATTGAAACGTTTTATATGATATTTTTAATTTTTAGATATTACCATCTCTAACAATGAATGGTGGTTTTCAATCACTGGTGAAAATTAAAAAGCTTTTACTTATTCTGAAGTGCCTCCAATTTTGGTAAAGCTACCACAAAACTGCACACCTATAGATTGTTATCTACAATTCCTTGATGATGAGATTCTTAGTATAATTGTCCAGGAAACTAACAGAAATGCAAAACAAGTTCTTCAACGAAAACGTCATAGTCGATATAGTCGATTATGTATGTGGAAGGCAACATCAAAATCTGAAATGAAACAATTTTTTGGGTTACTTCTTTGGATGGGTTTAGTCAAGTATCCATCTATAGAATGCTACTGGAGTAAAGATAGGAAGTACAAAAATGAGATTGCACCCAACTGTATGTTTAGAAATAGACTTGAACTTTTACTACGTTTTTGTCATTTTTAGAATAATGCGTTGGCAGACGGTAGCGATAGAATTTTTTAAATTAGAAATTTAGTAGACTTGCTGCAAAATAAATACAAACAATGCATGAATCCAGACAAAAAAATTGCGGTAGATGAAAGTATGGTTCCTTTTCGGGGCAGATTAAAATTTAAGCAATATTTACCGTTAAAAAAGCACAAATATGGTATAAAGTTATTCAAAATGTGTGTCACTAATGGCTATACTCATTCATTGATGGTATACGAAGGCAAAATGGACAAAGGTGAAAATAATTTATCAACACATGTTGTTCTGAAACTATGTGAAGATTATCTAGATTCAGGAAGAACTGATAATTTCTACACGCATATTCCTCTAGCGAATCAACTATTGAAACGTAAAACACACAATATTGGTACATTAAGGAAAAGCAGAAAATATTTACCAAAAGATATTGTCACTGCAAAACTATCAAGAGGAGAAGTCATTGGCCAGGAAAACAAAGATGGCATTGTGGTGGCTAAATGGCGAGACGACAAAAGGGACGTATTAGTCCTTTCAACACATCATACGTTGGAAATTGTAAATACTGGTAAAAAGAATAGGAAACAAGAAGATATAAAAAAGCCCAAGTTTATTATAAACTATAACGCTGGTAAAGCTGGAATTGATCTGTCCGACCAGCTTTCCAGTTATTCCTCACCAATGCGGAAGTCCATTAGATAAATTAGCTACTGAATTATTGTTTGGTACGACAGTAGTTAATGCATTTATATTATTTAAAACAGCCAATAAAGAAAACTCCAATATGAAAATTACAAAATTTCGAGAAAAATTATTTAATCATTTACTATTTAGTGAACAGGATAATGAAAATCTAACCGATAATGAAGAAAATATCCCAAAAAATTCTTTGCCAAAGAGAATAAAAAAGAATCATCATTTTTTGGAACACTCATCTGAAAGGTGCAAAAGAAACAGGAAAATAAGAAAACGATGTACCGAATGTTATGATAAATTATCGTCACAATTTGGAAGTAAAGAAGCCGCTCAAAGAACAAAGAAAGTTAACACTTTTTGCGCTGGTTGTCATCACAAACCTTTTGTTTGTGTTGAATGTTTTGATAAACATTCCAGGAGTAAAATATAGTTATTTGATGTAAATGTAAGGGCAGTCTTTTTTGAATCCAAATAAACATATCTTTATTTCCAAGATTGTTTTTTTCACCAAAAAAAAATCCGCGATACATCCCACGACACTTTGACCGCCCGCGATACATATGGCGTCACAATGATTTGATATCTTGGTCGCCGGCGGTCATGAAGCATCTTGTCGTGGCCCCATTCATCTCTACGTCTGGCGGTCAACGTGTTAATAGCGATAGCTACAGATTTATAAGAAAAATTGATTTATGGTCGACTTGGCAAAAAGCAGCTCGATTCATTTCAGTGCATTCAGGAAATTATGAAAGATGCATCCAATTATAGTGCTATAAATTGTGAACCAGTTTTCGCAGGCATGCAAGTTGCTTTGCTCAATTTAAAACGACAGCTCTGTGACTATTTCCCCGAAGAAATTCAAAATAATTACGACAGATACAGATGGATACTGATTCCGTTTATAACTAATTCTATTCAACATATTAAAATACCAAACAACATGAAAGATAACTTATTGAAATATCATGTGATGGAATGTTGAAGTTCCAATTCTTTTCCCAGAACCCGGACGAATTTTGGACCAAAAGGATGCAGGAATACCCTCAGTTGACGAATGAAGCTATCAAATACTTGGTTCCATTCGTAACATCGTATTTATGCGAGTTAAGTTTCTTATCTACGACTGCCATTAAAACGAAAGTGAGAAATTGCCTGGAACTGGAAAAAGTTATAATTGTGTGTCTCAAATACACAGTGTAGATTTGAAAGACTGGTTTCAAAATAACAGACGCATGGGTCTCGTTAACACTATACTATTTTACTTTATATCGTTTTTTCGTTTACGTTTCGTGGTTGATTGTGTTGCGTTAATTCTTGAGCATTAACGATAATGGGATTGAAGCGTGGTAGGAAACAACGTGGCGGCAAGAGGCCGGCAATACGCGAACCCCAGCCGTTGCCAGTAATGATGCCCGTCCTGCGGATATTGCAGCGTCAGTGGCTGCAACCGGCGGTTTCAGAGGTACCACCGAACGTGCGTCTCCCCCAGGGTACAGAAATCGCCCTGGTGCCGGTGGCCAAAAGGCCGAAAACTACTACGACGAACCCCGGGACTAGGAGAGAAGCGGCGGTGGCAGCCGACGGAAATTGCTGTCTCCCATGAGCAGCAATCACGACGAGGACGAGGTCAACCACCGAAGCCAAGTCCAAGTGGTGGAAAATTCTCAGGGGAAGGCACGTTCCAAGATGGCGGTTCTCACGTCGACGAGGGAAGGCGAGCATGCCAATATGGCGGCGGCGGCGGGCGCCTACATTGTCGACGAGAGAGGCGCATTCTGGAATAGAATATCCGGAGCCCTCCATAACGCTGATTACCACCACAGCGCAAGTTCACGTACCGGCCGAGCCGAGACGCAAACGAGCAGAGCCGAGACGCAAATGAGCGGGCGATAATCAGCCTCAGAGAGAAGACGCCATCACCATAGACGCTATCACGGCGGACAGCAACGTGGTCGAAGACCTAAAGGACACATGTTCGAGTTCGAAATGTTGAAACAGTGGAAAAGGGAGAATAGCGAGAGACTGACAACAATCAATGGCGAAGTCGCAATACACCAACACGAAATGGAGACCCTTCGCGAAAGATTGCGCGAAGTGGAAGCCGTATGTGCGGGGGCTTAGCGAATGCGTGATCAACGGTTGACCCAACACAATTCAATCAACACCGTCGTTAATGATTAATAAATCGGTCGCGAAAACGGAGACACTGGAGGTTGCGATCCTCCAAGACTCCCCATCCACCACAACCCAATTATATAAAAATATAAAATTTGTGTGAAAATTTAGTCAATAAGCGCTTAAAAATTAAAAATAGATTTTCTCGTCTTCTAAGCGTCTGTAGTACCTCGTGTAATGTCTCTAATTGCTCGTCTTGACATTTTCTATCGAATGCAACCATTTTCAGTCGCACCTGAGAAAATTTTTGAAAATCTACCTCATTACTGTTGGGTTAAAAAAATTTTAAAAATATCCTTACTATGAACTAATAGCCTTCCGGATATATGTTTAAACCGTCTAATTGTTCCTCTTGATATTTCCTTTCGGCATCATTTTCACTCGCATCCGAGAAAATTTGTGAAAAACCATCTACGTAATGTTGCTAGAAAATATTTTATTGTAATATACATGTATTATAATTAAATTGTATTATACTCTAAAATAAGATATTAATTAACCAATTACTACAAGTTTTTGTTAAAGAAACAATAACAAATGTGACAAACTACTGCGCCTTCAATTGCCACACTGAACTACTCAAAACCGAAACTAGTGGTTTTATCCCTACAACGAATGATGCATAAACTAAGCTTGGTATAGGAGGATGGTGCTCCCTCCACTCGAGTGACGTCATAAACTATATCTAACCGGAGGAGGATCGCTACCTTCCTTAACTCTGTTTCGTTGGATTTTGGAGCAGTAAACAGCTACAATAAAAATAATGGCTGTTGGAGAAGCCCATCATGAATTATTGAGCTGATTGGCTACCACGAACTTTCAAGAGGACAGTGGCGAAGAGAACGACGAGGTAAGTACTATACTTGTACCTAGTTTTCTATTTTAATTGCAGGTAACTTATATGTAATTTGTGTTCATGTAGGTCGACCCCCATTATATTGAGGATTTATCTATTAGACAGTTGATTGAGGCAGGATTCGATGTGGTTGGGGAGAGCCATAACGAAGGTGTTGAAGCTGATGCCACGGACGATGTCGCAGAGGGACTTGTTCGAGGGATATATGTGGAGGCAGTAGAGATCTTCTCGGGTCAGAAGAAGTATTGCACTACGATGTCCTCCGTCGTAGTACCAGGTGATAGACTCTATTTCCTCTGCTATCGGTGCTTCGAGTGTTTCGCCATCAATGCTATCCCCACTTTCAGATACCAGTACATCGAATCGCACAGGACAATGAAACTGGAGGATGTCCTGTCTTATAATTGTGATTCTTGTAGGCTACCGCTCAACCAGTTGAAATTAACAGACTGCTGCTTAATGTGCAATAGTGTTAAGTAGTGTATGTGTTTAGGCTAAGTTATGTAAATTGTAAATTAATTAGTGTATGTTCAATATAGTATTATGTATCTATTTAGTATGTAGCTTTATAAATTATATTTTCATGTTTATATATCATGCAATAAATATACACATTTTTTACCGTATTCATGTCTTTTATTATTGACTATATGATAATGAATTGAGAAAAGGTAAAAATCCCAAAAGTGCCACTAATAAAAATATATCAAAATTGAAAAAAAATAAATAAATGACTAAAGTAAAGCTATACAACATCTATAGCAAATTGTTACTTAAAGAACTGTGTATTAATTAATTACTATCTTCATTTGTGTGAGAACCATCGAAGGGAAAGTACAGCATTTCATTAAAAATGGAGACAATTGTTGTCGATATACAAGGTTTTAACTTGAGACAGTTTTACCCAATCAGCGGACAATACACCGCCCTTATCTATTTAAACCCTCGGTTTCATTCAATAAGCTAGATAGAACATCAGAAAGACATATCTAGAGCGATTCCATCACGGATTAAGATATTTTGATGGTTACATAAATTATGAAATGTTGGATGATATATTGCGCAAACATTTATTATACTCCAATATAGGTTTATGTTAGAGGCTACCGGAAGGAAATATTTCTTAAACAAAAATTACAAGAACTGGAACCATCATTTCGTCCAATCGTAATCAACGTGGAGAATCTGACAAGTAATGTTTCCTCTAGTACACTTCCTGTATTTAATAAAAATAGTCCATATTTTTTTTTACCATAGTATCAATAAATGTATGTGTAGCTTAAAGAACTGTGGGTTTATTTATAATTGGTTGTACACATACTTACCTAAATAAAATATTTTTTGTTCAATTTATCATTTTTTTAAAGCCCATTGATCTCTAGCCAGGGAAATCCCCACCAGCAAAATATTTACTGTGTGTGAGAATTTAACTCCTCCAAGTAAAAGGGAGGTTTTGGTCGTTATAAATCCCTTCCACTCAAATGTGAGAGGACGGATGACTGTTATCTATATATACCCGCAACTTGGATTTGTTTGGCAGTTCAACTTACCAGTTCATTCGTATATATATACCGGGTGTTTCATGAAGTTCTCCAGACACTAATAGAGAATGTTCCTTGGGTTATTTCTATTATATTCAAACCCCGGAAGCTTGGTGAATCGGGGGCCAGTCCGGAGCTACCTTGAGAGCCAGTCGATGGCCAGGAGTCAGGCTATAATTTTGTCCTCCACTTGATAAGCAACCCCTCGGAGTGTAACTATGTTATTTTATAATAAACTGTAAAAATTGATTGATTTGTGTGTTTTTCCCTCTCAGCAGCCAAGTGAGTAGCCCGAAGTAATAATATATTTTGTATACGTTATTTTTAATATTTTAAACGCAGATTAGATTTTCTCGCTAATTTTTCCGTATTGTACGAAGAAGATAATACCATAACGAAGAAAATACTACGGACTGATGAAAGCCGTTTCCATA